CTTGTATTGTTCTAGATAAAGTGGATTTTTATGAAAATTTTAATTCAGAGATGTTTGAAAAAATTTTTAAGAGGCTTTGTGAAAATCTTGCTATTAATTATGGACCATGTGTTATTCATATGGATGGAGCAAAATACCACAAGCGTCATGCCAAAGCTGCACTAACCTCTAACTGGACAAAGCCTGCAATAAAAGAGTGGTTAAAAGCCCATGGTATTGAATCTGATGCAGATATGACAAAAGCAGAATTATATGAATTGGTGAAAAAAAAAACCCCCATCTATTCCTTTCACCACTGACACTATTGCAAAGGATTCTGGTCACCAACTACTTTTTACACCCCATACCATTGTGAACTGCAACCAATTGAATTGGTATGGGGAGCTGTAAAAAATAAAGTTGCAGGAGAACAACAGCATCCAAATATTCTTTCTCTTCGAAATTCCTTACTTTATTCTTTCCATGAGGAAATCAAAACAAAGATTGTGGTTTCGTGCTGGAGAAAATGTTTGGATAAAGCAAGAGATTATTGGGAAACAATTGAAGATGAAATAAATGTGAGAGTGATGATAGTGACAATGAAAGTTTGGATCTTTGCTCAGGGGATGAAAATTTTGATGATCTTTGCTCAGAGGGTATGATCGTCCATAGTCCGTGCGGTGAAATCACTATATATAAAAGTTTTTTTTTTATTATATAAATCATTATTTTTGTAATAAATAAAAATATTTCTAAAAATATTTTGCATATACTTTCCAATTTTCATAAAAATTGGTGAACTTTTTACTAATACGTTTTTCAGTTTAATTGCGAGTCAAAAAAATTTTTACGATTTTAAAAAAAGTTTAATAAAAGTTTAATCCCAAATATTAAAAGATCCTAGTTGTTTACCTTACTTAACTCATTAAGAAAGTGTTCTCCATGGTCGAAAATATGTAGTATAAAATTTTGATTAAGATATATAAAATATTTTATCATTAACTTTCGAATTTAATTCGATGAACCTCTATCAAAATTTTTGTTCTTTATAATTTTGTAGTATATATATATATATGACTTCATATTAAAATATTTTTTTTCCCATAAGTATGGCTTTGTTTTTACACTAATTAATTAGAGATTAATTATAAATTTTATTAACATATATTATACATATGTGATGTATCAGAAGTGATGAAATGGCCTATATATTTATATATGGGGTCTTTGTTTGAAGATATTAATCGAACTAGTGTCATATATCTTTTGATTAAATCATTCTACGGATTTTTTTTTCCAAGGATTTACTGATATGGTCGAATGTATAGTCAATGTGTATTATTACCTGAGATTTAAAAATATCTAATAAACCCTAAAGTTTGGAATCGGTTTATTTTTCAATATGTTAAAACCGGGTTTAATCGGGTTTAACATATGAAAAATAAAAACCGGTTCCAAACTCAAATAGATTTTAATGCTAAATACTCCATTAAACTAATCTTCAGGATTGCAATACCTAATTAATAATTTAATTCCAAGTCTTAAATTCATTTGTAAGTCGTCACGGAACAAATGAATTTTATAGGATGTGAATATAAAAATATCATAGCACCATTTTTTGCAACTTTATAAATTGTTATCTTGGCAATTTTCTTAATATACAAGCATAATCTAAATGAAACAAATGTGAATTTGACCCGACTAAAAGCATTTCAAGATGTTTAGCTAACTTTTCAAGAACGTAAAAATAAATGATAGTTCAAGATTTTTCTCTATAAATATGTATTTTTATTGAAGTAAAAAAAAATAAATTTTATATAGGCTGAAATGACATACAATTTGATAATGATTTCAAATTGTTGCATAGAACCATTTTTCAAATCAGTCGTTTCATATTATTTTTGCCTTTGCCATTACTTCAATTCATTATGTAATATAAAGACCAATGTCTCAAAATTTCTAAATGTTGAAATATTTAGTACATGGATTTCAATAAACTCTCTTTTATTTTCAAGAAGTTCAAAATGATTATTGAAAATTTTTTTAAAGATTCACTGTCGCTTAATTTGAAAGGTTGAAAATTTTGTCGAAGCAAAATTTGAAGTGTTTCGATTTAATATTTACATTTAGGAATTATAACACAAAATGCATAATTTTTAAAATCCTTGGGTATGATTTATGTGACCATTGACTCGGTCATAACCCGGTCGAAATGTTTGGGAAGAGTTTGACCTGTATTTTTATTTTCGACCCGGACCCAATCAAATTACTTGATTTCCGAAATAAAGCAATTTGATTGGATTCCGCACATTCGAATTTTAAGCACTTAATCTCCAAAAAAAAAAATTCATCCCCTTGTAATACTTTTAAATATTGAAACTATATAACATACCATATGGCGATTGTATTTATGAATCAAAGTATATAAAATTTGCATCATTTTAGAATAGTTAATTTTCATTATCTCTGTTATCTGTTCTATTTTTAGTGTAACACGAGAATGACGCCCCTAATCTCAGGATTTATATATAAACAAATGCAACCAAAGTTTCTTGTCACACAATAATGTGTAAATAAATAGACTAAGTCGAATTACTGCATTAATGTTAAATTTAACTAATTATATGAGTTTATTGATGTATTAGGTCTTCTTACCATAAAATCAAAAATTTTGATTTCAGGTGAATATAATGCAGATTGAGCTCAATAGCACTCAATGTTAACGTAATATGAAAATGCTTTAACTAAATTTATCTTTCAAAAAAGATTCTGTGCCCATACAATGTTTCTTAATTTTAACATTTTATGACTAAGCAATTAACAAATATAGAATTATAATATAAAATAATAGAATAAACATAAAAATAAATTTTAAATGTTTAAAGAACAAACAAAAGCGTGCAATTTGGCTTGGTGTCTTTTTAATTCGCTCGGTGATCTGCATTTAAGAGGGCAAAAGGCGCATTGATACCTTTTTTTTTCCAGAAGCAATTACATTGCAAAATGAAGTTACAGTATGTTGGCAAAGAATATAACTATTTATGGCTGATAACGAATTTTCCAGAGAGCTACTTTCTAGTATTAAGAAACCAAAAATTAAATTATTACTTTTGCTTGTAATTAATAAGTACTTTTTAATCAAGTCGGAATTAATAATAAATTATGATGTTATTCTGCTAAATTACCAAATTATAAACGACATAATATTATTAATAAGTATTTTAGTAAAACACTTGCCTGAAGATTGATTTTTTTTTACCTAATCTAAAATCGTTGTAGTTTACGATTGAAGACGGTTTAGGATCATAAACAACTGATGATGAATTTAATGAGGAACCGCCATCTAATATTAAGGAAATAAAAATTAATTGTTACATTTGCTTTTAGTTGTATATACTAAAAAATCGCGTGATGTTACCGAATCTAAAATCACTATAATTTACTAGATTATGAATAAGATCATAATCAACTGGAAATAAAAGAATAAATTTAATTAATATTACGTTATTTGATGAAGGGATGTTCGAAGATAAAAACATCATGTATACGTATAGCATAATTTACCTGGTCCAGAATCATTATAGTTTACGATTTGAGACGGTAGGGAAGGAACAAGATCATAAATAACTGGCAATAAATTTGATGGAGTACAATTACCAACAAAGTTAACTAGTATCAATGAAATAAAAATTAAATTATTATCTTTGTAAATAAAAATTTATATCCTTCAGATAAACTTGTTTAAAAATTTGCCAAAATCATATTCATTAGAACTCTCTGCAGTTAAAATTGTTAGACCAAAAGTAGGAGTAGAATTATAAGTAACATCTTCAATATTTTTATTGATAAGACCTTTTAGTTTTAGAGGAAAATTAATTTTTTATTATCGATTAAATTAAGTTAAAATTAGAATATTGCGATTTTATATTTATGTTTGTTGGCAAAAAGCCCAATGCGAAATAAAAAAAAAATAACAGTGCAGTGTAGAATATTTACCTGAGATGTTTCTATTAGACTTTTTTTTTTTGTTTTTTTTTTTTGTTTCGCGACGTCTAACTAGTATTAATATATAAATAAAAAATTCCATGATTCCAAGATTTCTAATATCTAAAACGATAAAAATTCTTAAATTATAAAAAAGGAAATTTTTATCTACAGTGTCCTAATCTGCAAAGTTGAACTTTAACCCCAATTTTTAATGCCGGTAACATTGCCTAACCTTAACTCCACTTTAGCCGACCTCTAAATTTGGTAATTGTTAATTGATGCACATGCACGTTAACATTTTATGTAAACATTTACGTAACGTAGCACATCCCTCATTCATGCGAGCAGATTATACGTATGAGACCAGAACCGATTAAGCAAATACATTCACAAGACGTATATACTAGTAAATTATATGATATGAACAAATTTTCAAATTTTTTGAATATATCAGTACAGTAGAAATTTTGAGCAAGTTCTCAAATTTAAATCTAAATTAAATTACGTGTACTTAAGAAAATGCAACCATAGTAAATTTTTATAGTTATCAAAAATTTTTGCAATATTTAACGCCATCATGTTATTTAAAGTCTTGAATATTAACTTTTTTTTATCTTTATTAATAATATTCATGAAGTTTAAAATATACAATATATTATCTGTTTGTCTGCCAAAAAATTTTGACATTTGCCAAGTCATACAATACAGTATTCGCCTTTTTTTTATTTGCGTGAGCTTCTACTAGGGCTTCGCAGGTTTCACTTTGTCTTTTTCGATTTTAGGTCTCGCCATTCAGAATAATTTGGTGTTTCGCCTCTCTCAAGGGGTTTTGTCTTTCGTCATATACGTATAACCTTAAACCTTATTATTAAAATAAAAAAGAGGTTAGCTCATCATTAAAAATGAATCATGACTAATGCTAAGTCTGCCTGGGCGTTTCGCGTGCATAGCCACAGCCGGTTAGGATCTTAAACGATTACTCCT